ATCATTTACCATGTCATTCATCTAATCTTTCATGTTTTTATGATGATATTTATTTTTGTTATTGTTATAATTTCGGAAAACAACGTTTAGCAAATTGTTTTGAATTTAATCATACAATGAAATATAATTGTTTTGGTAAAAGTGTTTGTGAAAATGGAGGTCAATGTTTTCAAGATAGTCCAACTTGTCCAACACGATCAGTTTGTATTTGTCAATCATGTTTTTATGGAGCAAGATGTCAATTTAGTACCAATGGATTTGGCTTATCACTTGATGCCATTATAGGTTATTATATTCAACCAAATATTGATATTTTTCATCAATCGATAATTGTTAAAGTTAGTTTAATTTTAACTATTATTTTTATGATAATTGGATATATTAATGGAATTTTATCTATTATGACATTCACAGATAAAACAATATGTGAAGTTGGTTGTGGTTTATATTTATTAGGTTCATCAATAACAACTTTACTTACAACAACAATGTTTGGATTTAAATTTTGGATACTTCTTCTTGCACAAATGAAAGTTATTACAAATCGTTCCTTTTTAGATATTCAATGTTTATATGTTGATTTTCTCTTACGAGTTTTTCTTAATATGGATCAATGGTTAAATGCTTGTGTTGCTGTTGAACGAGCAATTACAATCATAAAAGCTACTAATTTTCAAAAGAAGAAAAGTAAACAAATAGCTAAATTAATTATAATTATACTTTCAATATTCATTATTTCTACATGTATTTATGATCCAATTCATCGACGTTTAATTGATGATAAAAATGAAGATGATAATAGAATTTGGTGTATTGCTTCTTATACATCTAATTTACAAAAATTTAATTCTTTTATACATACATCTCATTTTTTAATTCCATTAATTATTAATTTAGTCTCAGTCGTGATCCTCATATTAAAAAAGTCTCGTCAACAAGCAAAATTTCAAATTAATCAGAATTACCTAGCAATTATCAAACAACAGATTCAAGAACATAAACATATAATTATTGCTCCTATTGTATTAATCATACTTGGAACACCACGTTTAATCATATCATTTCTATCAAAATGTATGAATTCAACTGATGATGCGAGATTATATCTTACTGGTTATTTTATTTCATTCATTTCACCAATGCTTACATTTATCATTTTTGTACTGCCATCGAAATTTTATAAAGAAAAACTTGGTCACAGTTTCGTCCATTTTAAGACAAAACTACAGCAGATTTTTCCTGGTTTTCTATAAAGGTAAAAAGTAAATTACTGTGTAGAATAGAGAGAGAGATGTTCTTGGAAACTAAAAAAATTTTCAGTCGAATACATTAATATAAAATCGATAGATCTGTACTTCATTTGTAATATGAAATTGAAAATCAATGATCGATTTATTTCCTTATTATGGAAAATAAAACCTTCTTTTATGAAATTCAGTCTTTGTCATGTGCGACGTATATTAGGTTTTCTTTTTTTAGAATCATTCATTCATTTGTCACATGGTAATCTTATGGCAATTCATCAACTTTCAATATGACATGATTATTCTAAATATTGTTTGTTTTTCTTGTATTGTAAAAGTGTTGTTTTGCTTATCATCTATAAAATAAAACAGGAAAAAACTTTTCTCACTAAATCATGTTGTAGTAACAGTTTCTCCATGAAGCGACTCTAAACAATGTTTTTAATAGAAATCTGAAACAAAGTATATGTAGGCACTCCGTTTCAGTTAACAAAATATCCGTTTGTACTTTGTTAATTAGAAGAAAGTACTTCAAAATATCACAGTAATGAACTAATTTAAGAAAAACAAAAACAAAGTTATTACTAATCAATCTTTTAATGAAAAATATATTCCTATATAAATATATATAATAATAAAAAGGAAAACATATTCATTTAATCAACTGTAAGAAATACTTCTCTGATTTATCTTTTGCTATCATATGTACGAGATGTCCAAAAAGTCCTGCGAGAAAGTAAATTCTTATAACTTCTTTAATTTGTCAAAACAAATCATTTGTCTTTTTTTCGAATGATTGCCATTACCTAGAAGTTTTTATTCATACGAACCAACTTTACAATAAACGTTAAAAGATATTACTTTTGGCTGAAATATAGAAAATACGTTTTTGTAAATTTCACTGAAAAAAGTGTATATCGATGATTTTTTCGATCATTTCCATTTTTGTGATATTCTACACTTCCAACGGTTTAGGCTCTTTTTATAGTTATGTTTTTGGATATTCTCATAAAAAGAAATCAAATATTGATGTTCGCTAATATACCACAAAAAATATCTTCATAAAAACTACTCTAAACATTTGAAAGCGTAAAAACGTTGCAAAAATTGAAATGATCGAAAAAACCATCGATACACACTTTGTCAGTGAAATTTGCAAAGACGTATTTTTCTGTATTTTAGTCAAAAGTGGTATCTTTTCACGTCTTTGTAAAGTTAGTCTGTATAAATAAAAGCTTCTAGGTGATGTCTATCAGACGAAAAACAAAGACAATTGATTTGTTTTGACAAATAAAGAAGTTATAAGAATTTACTTTTCCGCGTAACTTTTGGGACATCTTGTATAGATCAGATAGAGACTAAATAATCATACAGATTGAATACATACTAAATAATCAATAGTATACGATGCAAGAATGAAATAAAAATATCTAGAAAAAAAAGAAGATTCAAAATCTGAAAAGAAAATAAGAAAGTTCACTTATGAATTTGATAGGATTAGAAGAAAAAATACTGTTCAGTTTCATCTACAATTAGAATACATAACCAAGAAGAAAACGAGAAACTTTTATATAATGGCGAAATAAATAAGCAAAGTGCTGCTTTTAATTTGCAAAGTATCATCGATGTACTTTGTTTTTTTTTGGCCTAGTACAAATCACAGTACTTTTTCACAATCGTAAGTACCTCGGGTACTTTGCTTTTGCTTAAGGTACTTTATATTAAAACCACTGACTCTAAATAATAATTATCATTAATATCATTCGGATATCAAGTTCTATGTTTTTTTTTTCTACAACATTACATTGCTCTTGACCATATTTGAGAATACATCCAACAAACTTCTCTTTTTGCCTTTATTTATAACATATTTCGATAAAAGTGATATAATGACACCTAGGTGATTTCCACTGAAACAATATATGAAAGCGCCGTTTCTTCAGCATAGACAGATCTTTCTGAGAGCTGCAACGTAATGCAAGGGATGTGTGTGATTTTGGATAAATTGCAGATTAACACAAACATCCACACCCACACTCCTCGATGAAAAAATTAGCTTCTTTGTTCAAGCTCTTAATGGAGATATTCAATTTTTAGTTCGGTTGCGTTACTTATGGGTCACCTTGTATATCATTTAAAGTAGCTAGTGTAGAACTATGAGCTGGTCCAAAAAAAATTAGAAACACTTCAATTCGAGTTGTGGAAATGGGAAAAGAAAAAGGATCGTTTTTCAGCATAACTAACCTTAGAAGGTCCATTCTGAGTCGAATGATGTGGATTTCCATAATAGAATGTCATGTCTTTCTATTGCGGGGAAGAGATAGAAGAGAAATCAAAGAAAGATTTCCAACGATACAAACAAAACATATAATATGATAAATGTCATGTCTAAATTCTAATTTAATATGTAAAATCAACACTATATTTAATATTGTAGTTTAATTATATAGAATATGTATATTTATTTTGTCATTATTTTGTTTCATGGATGTATACGTATTAAATGATTAATGAACCTTCAAGATACATTAATTGATGCATATTAGTTGACAAAGACAACTTTTCGAAAGAGTGAGACATTGTAACTTATGTACATCTTATACATATGAAAAATCAAAAGTTGAATCTATTGTGTAGATACAGTCTACGACAATTGAATTTATACCCATCGAATTTTTTGTTTTTTATTAATATACGTTTTTTATCTATAAACCTACTATATATAGGAAGAAAGCCTGGCATGCGCAGAATATTTTGGTATATTTACTTTGATCATGAAATGCAGTTTAAAGTATAGAAAGTGTATTAGAAGAAAAAGTCACTTTTTCTTTTTTGCCAATGTTCATAATATTGAGGGGTGTGGGTCTGGGTCTGGGTGTGGGTGGGGGTGTAGTTAGAGTTGAAACGAATGCCTGAACCCACACCCACACTCCACACTCCACATCCACACCCACTCACACCCCACCCACACCCACACCCACACCCACATCCACAGAAGTAAGACAATCTTGGAAATACAAAGAACACTTCTTACAAATTGCTTCTGCTCTATGAAAAAATTGATCGCTTCATTGTACATTGCTTCAACATATTGGATGATACCCATTCCACGAAGAGTATAATCAATATTGATATTATCAGATTTATAGTATTTCTGTTGAATTGCGAGTGCTTTTTCATGAGATTTAAGAGCTTGATCGTATTCTTTCATTTGATAAAGAACATTACCAATGCTATTAAGACTATCAGCAGTATAAATATTATCAGAAAGGCAATTATCTCCCTGTATTGCTAACACTTGCCTATAGGAATCAAGGGCTTCACGATATTTTTTTGTTCATTTAGGTCATGGCCAATGAATATGAAACTTTGAGCAATATGATCATAATAAAATGGATAATATGTCTTTAACCAGAGATGGGCAAGTCAGCTATTTTTTCACCCAAGTCAAGTCAAGTCATTTGTCAAATAGAGTCAAGTCAAGTCAAGTCAAGTCATTTGTCAAATAGAGTCAAGTCAAGTCAAGTCAAGTCATTTGTCAAATAGAGTCAAGTCAAGTCAAGTCAAGTCATTGGTCGAAAAAAAATATTCTCAAGTCAAGTCAAGTCAAGTCATCAATTTGAGATACGCCATTGTAAGTCAAGTCAAGTCAAGTCTGTGTTCTAACCAAGTCAAGTCAAGTCAAGTCTCAAGTCATTGACTTGAATTTTTTTTAATTTCATAATTTAGTTATGTATCAATTTATTGAAAAAAATTTTACATAAGTCCCTGATTACATTTTAACATAGTTAACATTTGTAATGTCTTCCTTGACATTCTGGCCCTATGTTGCCGAAATATAAAGCCACTTTGTGAGAAAATTCTCTCTACAGGTGATGATGTGGCAGGAACCGTCAAAACCTTCTTTGCTAATCGATTCAACGTTTTGTATTTAATTGATTGATTAATTAGAATAAATCTATTTGAATCACTATCATCATCATTAAGATAACTAGTAATTTCATCTTTGATGAATGCAAAATTATCGACTTTTTGTTTTTTAATATTTTTCCGATCAATGTATGAGAACAGACTTTTGCGTTTTGGTGTTGATTTTGCTGTTGTTACTGTTGTTAATTGTTCATCATGAGTAACATTTACTTCACGTGTTGCTGTTGAACAATCATTATGCTGAAGTACTACGCAATGATCGTATATTAAATTTTTAATTTTATCACAAATAACAGTTTTTGTTTCTAATGGTAATGATGATTCAGTAATCCAATGTAACTTGAATTTTCCATCAAGAAATGGTGCATAAATAAATATTTGGTCTCTATAAAGTTTAGATGAATTTTTTTGTTTAATTGATTTATCAATACTAACACCTAATTCTTCCAATAAACCACCAAATCGAGAAACTAATGAAGTTAATAATGCATGACATAAGAATGATGTATATAAGACATTTGATTGTTCATTTACTAAATCATAATAAATTGCTAATACAGTAGGAGCAATAAATGAAATTGATGGCGTATTTTCAGCTTGAGTAATTGTTGTTGCATCAGCAAATAAAATTAATAATGATACAAATTCATTTAACATCTGACAATCTTTCGTAAGTAAACAAAGATCTTTACGTTTAACTAAAATTAACATTTCATTTAATTCTGATGATGGTATACGTAAAATTTTTTCGACTGTATTGAATTGGCTGTTCCAACGTGTTTTAGTAGCTTTTGGTATTGATTTTCCAATATTTTCCAGTTTCTCTGCAAAAATAGTACTGGTATGAGATAATTTGGCTATTTTTGATACTTTTGATAAAGCAGATTCAATAGATGAAACCTGTTTTAAACCATCATTTACTACCAATTGAATAGTATGAGCAAAACATGGTATACGTAATGATTCATTATTTGCAGCAACATTATCAAAACTATTTTTAATTAATTCGATCATATTTGAATCGTTGTTATCTATAACTGGAACGGCAGATTCATCATTATCATCATCACTAAAACCATCTAAATCAAGATCACTTCCATTTTCATCATTATCGTCATCTTCAATATCAAAATAATGCTCGAAACCAGGTATTATTAAATTTTCAAATGCTTTAATGTTGTTCGCAGCATTATCTGTCACTAAGCGAACTAATTTGGTTTGTATATCAAACATACTAACAATATTTTCATAAGTTTGTAATAACAAATTAGCAGTATGACTACCGTGTAAAGGTAAAAAGCATAATACATAAGATTTTAATTCATTGTCAACGAAAGCATGACCTAAAAGAAAAACGATAATTAATTACTGAATCAATACGACGCCTGAATATTAGAACATTTGAAAAATATTGCAATCATACCTGTCATTGCGAAAAAAGCACGTAAACGACGATCTGTCCAAATATCTAAAGTCAATGATATGAATTGAGATTGATTACAAAACTTCTTCAATTCATCGTTCATTGCATTATATAAACGTGGAATTGTTGTACGACTTAATGTTCTTCTACTAGTCATAGTAAACTTTGGATCCTTTGTATTCATGAATTTGATAAATGGTTGACGTTCAACTATTGATAGTGGTAAACCAAGATCAATGATAAGATTTTCTACAATAGATTTGGATAATTGAATTTGTCGTGGATGATTATTATTATAATAAAAATTTGAGAATGGTGATGTTCTTGTTTCATTATTTTTAATAAATAAATCATATATTTTTTTCTGATCTTTGTTACTGGATTCATTTAATTGGGTAAGCCATTCTTGATATTCTTTTCCATGTTGACTTTTTACATGTCGATTTATGTTCGATGTTACACCTTTATTATCATATTTAATTTTATTACACAATATACATTGGCCTGACCAATTTGTTTCATAAGTTTTGATGTTCACATAAAATTTATCTCGTACTGTTTTTGGAATATCAACAATGGTTTGTGATGTTGTTTCAGTTGAATTATCCAATGTAGAAGAAAGTACTGGAACAGGTGATAATATACACCCATCTGGAGAATCAGGTGGAAGGTGGACATCAGCTTGTGAAAATAAATCACTCATATTCAGTTGTAATACAAGTTGTAATTGATCTAACCAGTTTAATACAATAAGTCACGTATGATGCACCCTCAGCCGTATAATTGCTTATATACTTGCAAATGTCGATGTCCGATAGTTTCTTTTGTGAGACCAGACAGACTAGACGAATAAACAATGAATTAAGAATTCTTTAATTCATTGTTTATTCGTCTAGTCTGTTTGGGACGTTATTTTATACGCACAGATCAAATATAACCTGACGAGAATCTAATATGCATTGATGTTGCAAAGAATATCTGACTTGACTTGTATTTTTTTGTCAAGTCACAAGTCCAGTCAAGTCAAAAAATGAAAAGTCAAAGTCAAGTCAAGTCAAGTCATGAGTCATCAAAAAATTTTCTCTGACAAGTCAAAGTCAAGTCACAAGTCATCTGAAAAATTTTCAAGTCAAGTCATTCAAGTCAAAAATGACTTGACTTGACTTTGACTTAAGTCATTTTTGACTTGACTTGCCCATCTCTGTCTTTAACATTGAAAGAGGTTGTCTATGGAATTCTAAAGCTTTATCATAGGTTTTTTTTTCTTTGTTAAATACGTGACCAATTCTATTTCATGTGTAAACAACATGTATGTGGTCAGAAGAATAATATTTCATTTATATTGATAGCTGTTGTTAATACAGATCTAAAGCTTCGTCGTATTTTTCTTGTGTAAATTTAATATCTTCTAAATTGTTTAAACTTATTACTATGTCGATATGATCAAATGGATAAAATTTTTTTTGTAATAGCCATGCTCGTTGCACAATTTCAAGAGCTTCATCGTATTTCATCTGTTGGTTAAGAATATTACCAATATGATTAAGAGTTTCAGCAATGTAGACGTGACCCAATGAATAATATTTCTCGTAGATTGACATTGCTCTTTGATGATAATCTAAGGCTTTATCAGTCTTGTCTTGTTCAATTAAAATATAACCAATATTTCGTAGATTAGTAGCAATGTCGACATGAGGACAGTCATAATATTTTTCTCGAATGATCAGTGCTCATTGAAGGAAAATGAGTGCATTATTATGTTTTAGTCGTTGTTGTTGAATAAGACCAATGTTTTCCAGAGAAGAGGCAATGCTAATATGATCAGAAGAGTAATATCTCTTTTGTATTTCTAAGGCTCGTTGATGAAATTCGTCGGCTTCTTCATATTTTCCCTGTAGATACAATATTTCACCAATATCTGAAAGTATAAAAGAGGAATATCGGATACAAGATTGTTCAACTTGCATAATTCAATTAAGTGCACATTGATAATATTTTCGTGCTTCAATCCATCTCCCTTTCCAATGATCAGCTTGACCAATATGATGTTCTATTTGTGCTAAATCTTCTCCATGTAAATCATTGAATAAGTGTTGAAAATATAATTGTGATTGATTCCATTGACTCGTATCACATATTAATTTACCAAAAATAATTGGAATAGTTAAATCTTCTATTTGTCGATGAGTATCATCAATATATTTTTGTATGATAGTTTGTCCATCATTGACTACGATCATTTTAATGATTCAAATTTGTTCGTCTTTTTGAATATTTTCCAAACGAAAAATAGTATTTAAATCAAATAGAATTTCTTCATGATGTGCAGATTCACTGAATTGGGTTATGGGTGTGGGTGTGGGTGTATAAAAGTATGTAACACTTATATCTCCACACACACCCGATCATTCAAAGTGTCAAAACTTCGAATTTTGAAAATTTCAAAACTTTTAAACTTTGAATTTTTCATCAACAAATTTCACCTTCAAAATCTTTGCAAAGATCATTTTTTGTTCAATTTTTAATGCTCTTTCAAATGAGGTATCGCTCAGAAAATTGAGCTAAACTTGTAGGTTTTATAAGCAAAATACTGTTTTTGCTGTATTTTTAAGAACTATTAATGATACTTCAAAAAATATTCATTTTCTCAAGAATCACAATATTTCAGAGGCTAAAAAAAAATTATACACCCAGTTTTGTATGAAGACTCGAATAACGATAGTTTCAAGAGAAAAAACTCCCACTTGGCCATTGTATTTTTCGATGGGCTATAATAGCCTCTCTTAACAACT